TTTCTGCCCTTAACTCATTTCACTAGTGACCATGTACTATTTTTTAATGTTCAGTTTGGTTTCATTTTTAATTTTATGGATTCTGTGTGTGTCCCCCCCATATTTAATATTTATTATCCAAACGCATGCATATAGACAGAGCATGCAGTGCAGAGTATTAAAAAAAAAGCCTAGTAGATTTGGTGCAGCTTTTGAAACTTAGTTAGATGTGAACTGAATACAGGTTTAAATTTTAATTCCAGAACCTAAAAATGCAGGATGTTTTTGATACAGCGTAACTCTGAGAGTAGTAGATGTTCCCTGGGGCATAAAGGGTAGCTAGGAGGGGTTTGGACAGTCAGTCCTGTTTTATTTTTACCAGCAGCACCTTTCACTGACTTCTCTTTTCAGTGAGCCCCCTTCCTTCTAAAGGATGAAAAGGAAGTGGCCGTAAACTGACTGGTATGTTCTGTTTGTGGTGGCACACGTGTAAGCACAGTGCCTGCCTTGGGAAGAGTTAAGTTATGAGTCCAATTATCTTCACAAATGAGATTTCAGCCTTGGCTTTAAGATTTATAATAAATGCTTTAATCTTATAAAAAGCTTTTGCTGGAACATTGAACTCCTTGGATTCTTCTGGTTTTGATCCATTAAAAAATTAGTATCTGTCAAACTAGTGGTCAAACAAATGATGATCCAGCCTAAGAGTAATTTACAAGTTGTCACTTCCCCTGTGTTGTTTCCGGCATGGAAGAAATTAAGATTTGCCAAATACCTATTTCAAGGGTATTTAAAATATAAACATTCAAAACCAAAGACTAATTTTAGGTCTTTTGGACGTGGATGGGGAAGAGAGAACAGAAAATGTAATAAAGGAGACTTGATACTGTGGGGGTTACAGCAAATGTTATGAGTTTTTCCCCTCATTTCTCTAATGATCTCAGTAATATGCAGGGCTTATCTGTCTCTGCTTGACCATTCCTGAGACTCCAGCCCAGGAGTGCTTTTTTTTTTGCTTCCATGAACCTCATCTTCTGGGGGAAAGCAGAAGTGGCCCCGTCCTTACCTCTTAGTGCATTAGGATTAAAGTAATGGATCTAGCATCTTTAATAGAGTTTTGTGATAACTGGAAAGGAAAGGAGGAACAAGCAAATGGCAAAAGATACTTGGGTTAATGCCTCGTTAGGTGTGCGGTGTTGAAAATAAAAAGCTAAAGCGTGCAGTTTTACGTGGCCATAAGGTAGGGCTGACTGCCAGCTGTTGAGGGTGGAGTCAGAACATGTTTACGTGCAGGGTTCCCTATCCCCAGACATTCCAACCACCAACACCAGTGTTTACATTATAAACAGGCCAGCACTTTCCTATTCCCTCAGACTCAAAACTCCTTAGTATAAAACCAGGTCAGTATTTTCTTCTTGTGCTTCGTATCATTAGAAAGACTGAGATTAGAGGCACTTTGTGCTGCTACAGGTAGGGCTGCATCCACATTGGAAAGGTGACAAAATGGGTTGGGTGTTGTCCTGAGGTTTTCAGGCATAATTATGCAAATGAGATTTTTCAAATCTGTATGCCAGACGTTTGCTTACTTTTTTTTTTTTGGTAATTAGTAAGTAGGCTGTTAAAAATGTCTGATATTTTAGAGCGCCATAGTTCATATCTCACTGACAGAACCAGGCATGCAAGAGAGTTGTGTTCTGGCAAAAAATCTTAATGCCCCAAGCTTGAGTTGTCATTTCTTTCAGTCTGAGAAATAGTCATTCTCTTAGCAGTGAGACAGAGAGAACCTACAGCGAACTGTCCCAAGTCACGGGTCTGTTTCATGTCCAGCTTAATAGGGCACCTTGAGCTACACTGTCCAGCATGCTTTAGCTTAAATGTCAAATATTTTAAGTCTGGTTAAAATGTTTGTTATTCATGAAGCTTGTTTCAGTACACACAGTTACTTCTCACCTGCCCTTCCTACCCGCCCAGTCTTGTGATTAGGTGTAAACCTCTATTTAGCCCAAGTCCTCCATTAGGATGGCCTTTTTTCCTGATGTTTGTGATATGGTTTTCTTGCAAGAGAAGTTTCTGAAATATAGTCTGGGCTGTTGGTAGAAGAGACAGGTGTTGTTTTGTTTTACTCTCACTAGCTTGGCACTGAATTGTCTAGGTGCCCACAGGGTGGGCAGAACTTATGCTTTGGGGGTTGAGGGCAGGCCTTACACAAACTAAAAGCTGCTTATGATGTGCCTTCAACAAGCTGCTCAGTCCTCTCCATCAGCAAACTTACCAGTCTGTAGTTTCTCTTATCCTTTTGTAAAATCTATAGCAAAGAATGTAGATTTAGTTCAACTTTTAGTTCTCTCAAACTAAATGGCTCAGACGGTAAAGCGTCTGTCTGCAATGCAAGAGACTCTGGTTCGATCCCTGGGTTGGGAAGATCCCCTGGAGAAGAAAACGGCAGCCCACTCCAGTACTCTTGCCTAGAAAATCCCATGGACAGAGAAGCCTGGTAGGCTACTGTCTATGGGGTCGCAAAGAGTCAGACACGACTGAGAGACTTCACTTTCACTTTTAGTTCTCTCAATCAGAGAGAACCAGTCTTCTCTTAAGAAAGGGAGAAGCAGCAGCTGCTTGCTGCCAGCAGTCCCCAAATGTTGTTTTTGGCTTTGCTTTTTATTTTCTACGTATCACTGAATATAATTAACACTGGTCACCTTGAATTCATTGTTGTAACAGAGGAATAGACCTGAGACATCGCCAGCACTAGCCTAAGTAGAGCTGCCCCCTTTCTCTGCAGTTGTGGTTTACTACTTCCTGGGTTAGAAGGAATAACTGGGAGCTCTGCATGGATCAGACCCTTCAGGCAAGAACCAGTGTGTTAATAGTGTGAATTAGATATACTGACTACCTGCTCTGCTTAATTGCTATGAAACTGAACTAATCAGCAGTTATAAAGCACATACTTTGTTATGTGCTAGGCTCTGCCTCCTGGCCTGTAGATAATTTAAGAAGACCTAGGGAATACCATCAGACGTGCTAATTGTATTTGGGTGTTAACAAAAGCAGATCTAGACAAGCTGTCCACTTAAATGGTACCTTTTGGTCAGAAAAAATTTATTTAAAGATTGTGATCATGTAAAATTACTCAAACCTTCTAGCAAAAATATTTTTTGAAAAATAAACTAAATGCCTTTATAAATGTGTGTTCTTGTGTTGGATAACATGTACTGTTTGGTGAGTAGTACTTTTTCCCAGTGGCATTCCGGTCATGACAAGGCTTATCTGAGTAGACTCTAAGCAGCTCACTGTCTAGTGTAGCACTTTCTACAGTAATGGAAATGTTCTGTATTTGCATCCACTACAATAACCATTACCACAGGTAGGTATCGAGCATCTGAAATGTGGCTAATGTGACTGAGGAACAGTTTTAATTAGCTGCATGTAGCAAGAGACTACCATATTAGTAACTCTCAAATCAGAATGGACATGCAAATTCTGCACACCATTCAGATTCTCCCCCAAAATGTATTAATATTCCAGAGTAAGAGTGTTTCAATGTCTCTTGGTGAGGAAAAACACAGTAAGTTGGGCCAATTTTATTGAAATGTTACAGAAGACAATTCAAATATGAAATACTGTCTGTGGTTTTAAATCCTATAGAAATCTGAATCACGTTTTACTGCAAAATAATACAAAATACATTAATTCAAACTACTGTAAAAAAAAGACTATGTCCTCATTAAACTACTTGCACATGTTTTCCTAAATACTTACAACTAATTTAGAGATATCCAAATAGCCAATTTAAATTTGAGAAAACACATGGTAACATGAAAGCTGTTCACATTGAGATACTCCAGCCCCAACTTCACAAACTCCTGGAAATTAGGAGATACTTTGTTGCTAGATGAAAAAATCTCACTTAGGTCAGGGAGAATTATACTAGACTAGCAATTTAGTCTAGTAAGACTAAATTTAGTAAGAGCAAGAATTCATGTAACGTTACATGAATTCTCTAATATTAGAGAAATCATCTCTTGCCTTACAAATGCAAAATAAATCCTCTAGACTCCCTTCTGGGAGTTGTAGAGACCATCAGCTGACTGTCCAGCCTTTGAAACAGCACAATTAGGGAAAAAAACAAGACAGACTTCAGGATAAGAACTGGCCAAAATGTTTCCCAAGGGAAGCATTTCTGATTTTGTTAAGCCATTCTCTCAATCTGTAAGCTCTTTAAAAAAACACAAACACCACAAAACACTCCATTCCCAAGATCAGTCTGAAAATGAAAAAAATAGATCTGAAGGCGCTCACATCTCACATATTTTGAAAAATGTGTTTAGTAAATAAATACCCTTCAATACCTGTCCCTTATTTCCCGATATACAAAGCATGTAAAGCAGGTGGTGGTCCCTGGGACTGTCTAAAGCTTACTTTTATACCAACTGTTTAGGAATTTCCATTAAGTTTCGCCTTTACAGATTAAAAATCACAGAAAAAAAAAATTCAGTTACCAAACATCTGTTCCCCTAAATTTAGAGCAAAGCTACATTACACAGCACAAGTCCACTTATTAAATTTTATCTTATGAAAACTTAAAATTTTAAAAATAGTAATTCCAGGTCCCAAGGTAGACCATGAACCTAGTTAGATGCAAACATGGTAATAAACACTTCAAAATTTTTTCCAGTCTTAAAAGATTTAAGTGTGTTTTTGGCTGACAGATCAACATTATACATCCAAGTCTGTTGCTAAGGAACACCATTTTTGACCTAGTAACAGAAATCATTTTGGTAATCTGACACAGAACCAAGATCCTAAGATTTAATTCTACAGAATTAAAGGCATTCTTTTGGATTCTGTTCTTTAATAATATTTAAGAGGAAAACCATGACAAGGCTTCCAGCTCAGTAGAGACATTGATTAAAGCTTGGTTTCAAAAACAAAAACAAAAGGCAGGCTTGCAGATCTTGGGTAACACCCATCAAATTCAATAGGCCAAAGGAGTGGGCTTTCATGATGGGGCTCTCAACCACTCACTGGTTTTGGGCCAGTTTTCCATAGCCACCTCTTCCAGCATCATAGTCCTGACGATATTCATCTCGTACCTTAATTGAAAAGAACATGTTACAGTACAGAGAAGATTAGTTTAACAAACATGCCTTCCAAAATATGTCAGACAAATAACTAAGCCTTTTCAGATGTCATAATGTAAACATTATAAGCATAACATGATTTTGAGCAACTGATGATAAAGTTCAACTGCCCTGCAAAATTATTTTAATACTGCTTTTTTTTAAAAAAAAAACAAACATCAGGCTTACACTCAGCACTCAAAGATAGCACATTCCAAAGAATAAACTATGTTGAAATAAAAATGGAAAAGTTGTTTCAGTGCATTCTGCTTTGCTCAACATTCCTGCAGGAGAATATTCAGCCCTTTGCAGAAGTCCAGTAATCGTTGCTTGTGAAGATGTATAAAATATACTATTGGATGGTATTTAAAAATATTAATAATTTATCACCCCAATGGGTGGATTCATTCAAGCCAAGGTTATAGGCACAGTTATTTTGAAAAGAGCAAATACAAACTGACAAAACACTTATCGTTTAGGACTGGCACCCTAGGCAAAGGCTGTGCACAGAAAACCTTCCTGCGTACCTGGCCCCCGGAACGCCCACGGCCATACTGCCTGCCCTCCTTAAAGCCTGCATCCCAATCTGTACGAATTATCCGGTCATCCAGACGAGTTCCATTTATATACCGCATGGCATTTTCTGCATCTGCTCTTGAATAGTATCTTAATTATGATTATTAAGGAATTAGCATTTCTCCAGACATTTTTGTAAATAGAGGAAGAAACATCTAAATGAAGATGAGTTAAAGAGTACAAAAACTAATCCAACCAGATGGAGATCAAAGACATAATTTGGCTTGCATAGGCCTGTTGAGGTTGGTCCAGCAGCAGTCAAAAATGATATTTCATCCTCAGCTACACTGATGGTTTTTTGGATAATCCTGTTAAATACACAGTCCCACTGTCTCCATATTTTGGTTTGCAAAAATACAGATATGTTCTGTGCAGGTTTAAACCACAAACTGTTATTCAAGGCAACAACAGCATCTTTTGGTTCCCTGAATATGAAGCTGTACATTCAAGAACAATCTTAAAAAGAGGTCACTGCATAAGACTTGCCATCGCATTTCATTAGAAGGAAACACTCAAAAAGTTATCACTCAGGTCAGTGGTTCTAAACCAGATCTACTAAATCTATCTTTGGGATGTTACTAAAAAATATATGTAAGTAATTATGATTATAACTGGGTCTAGGAAATACTTATCTGGACCTTTCCCCTTGTCTTTAATTACACGGGTAGGGAAACACTTGCTGAAATTCCAGTGTCCAGTGTCTACACAATGCCTAGCACACATGGGCATTCAATAATTCTTTGTTGAATGAAATGAATGCTAAAGAGCAAACGGGGGCGAAAAAATACTGACAATGAAAGGTAGCCTTTCTTTCGGGTGTCATCTTGATTATTGATCTTTGACCTTCAAGGCAAATGCAAAAACACTCCAATTCTTAAACACTGATTAGTGTCTTAATATTTTCTTTGTCTTTTTGTCCCCTGTGAATTATTTTACACTCTTGGCACCAGAGGTGAAAGCAAAACCTGGGCACTCGTCCCTTGTGTCTGAAGGAGTAAAAGAAGCTTGCAGAGCCCAGAAATCAGACACCGAAGTCAGTAGTGGGGAATAGGTTCAAAAGGGGTTTCTGATTCAACCTGATAGTGAGCACATTTTGTCTTCTTTCCTTCTCAGGGCCTCCATTAGACAACAGGAAAGAAACATACCCAAAGAGTAAAAGAAGCCATCAGCAGATTAGAGATGCAAAAGCTAAAGATTAATAATGGGTGAAACAAAGTCACAGTAGGAAATACTCCTGAAAGGCTTAAAGGAGACAGTAAACCCAGGAAGCTCTTAATTGCAAGTTGATTAAGTAGTAAGGCTGCAAACAGGGTTTAATTAAAGGTCTTTGTGTGGGAAGAAGACCTGGTAGCAGGAACACATTTAATTCCAGGCAAATAAAAAAGATAGGGTTGTGAACTAACTAACTGAAGGAACTATGGCATTGTCTTTAACATCAGCAAGCTAAAATCTTTTTTCATTCTAGCATTTACGAAACCCACATGTCCCAAGGGCAAGACAGCAACTTAAGAAGCTCTGCCTAGATCCACAAAGTCAGCCTTTTTCTCCAGAAACCAATGGATCACCAGAAATTTAAGGAAATTTTACAGCATAAATACAACAGAAAGCAACAATTCAAGGCACAGAAAATTCAAATGACATGGTCGACTAGGTCTGGAAAATTTCTCAAGATGACCAAAAAAGAAAATAACAGTTAAAAAACAAAATATGAAAGGGTAAATCCAGAAGGTGGAATGTATGGAGAGCTTCCAGGGAGAGAATGGTCACAAGTAAATATGGTTACGACCTAAGAAAATCAAGCTTTATGCATCTACATAATACCATACAGCTGTTATAAAAAGAGGTAACCTACATGTGCTAACATGGAACAATCTAAAGTAGGTGAAAAAAAGTGCACACAATATGCTACCACACATACGTAGAGTCACTTCTGGAAAGACACCAGTGAGATTCATAACTAATGTCTCTAAAATTAGAATGATAATGGGGCTTTTATTTTTCAATACTCTCTTTGGACTTTCTGAAATACCATAAGCATATACATTTTCAAAGATTTACTTAACCAACTATGAAAAAAGAATGGATTTCAGAACAGAATGTATGTGTTACTAGCTTTCCCAGTGTAAACAGTATAGACATATTGGACAGAAGGTAGGAGTAGATGAAGGAAGAAGAGGAGGTAAGTGCAGGGATGCTAATCAACCAATGTCCTCACTCATCTTTCAAAATAGGCTATCAGCTGCTCTCAGCCCCACCTTCGGTCAACAGCTACACGAGACACACAGGAAGGATACTCCACAAAGCAGAACCCACATGCTGTCTTCTTCATTTTATCCAGGCCCATGATGATTTTCTTTATGTCACCACTTTTGCTGAAGAGCTCATAGATTTGTTCTTCCGTTGTATAAAAGGAAAGATTTCCAACATACAGTGTACAGCTTTTCTTCAGTAATTTTTCCTGTTCTTCATTGTCACCCTAGAATTTCCGAGATAGGGAGCAAAGTGGAAAAAAAAAGGCACAAAACAATATGAAGGGTATGTTCCAAGTTACATTTTTTAGAAGTGTGAATTTAACATGGATACCATACAGAAGCTAAAGGTAATATGTCCACCTCCAGGGAGAATCAAGGGACTGCAAGTCAGGTTTCTATGTATGGTCTCATTTAATTTATTATCATCAATCTACCTGAGGGAAGATGGTTAAGTAACTTGTCCAAGATCACATAGCTAATCAGTAGTTGCAGTTGGAACCCAAGTCCAGTCTTATCCCTAATCCTATATTTCCTTAAAAAGTTCACAGGACAGGAGTCATTCTACAATAAAAATAGGTTTTTCAGGAGTTTGGAATGAGACACTAAACAAGTTTACTACTGCAATTACTGACTTGTTAAAACTATGGTCAAGAAGCATTTTCCTCTCTTTTTCTCACATGTTTAAGTCATGTCCTAACAAACAGCTTACAGTTTAAGACAACTAGTGTTAGTACTTAAGGTATGACATAATATAGATACCATTCAGGAAATACTGTAGAAATTCTACAAGGCAGTATCTTACAGTAGTATGAAGCTATAGGCTTTAGACTGCAGATAGACAACAGTAAAAGTTGTAATCTTGCAGAATGCTTGAAATTCAACATGGCTATGATGTGGAACTTTCTAAAGTAATGAGCGATAGACGTGTAAAATAATGTCTGTGCATGTGTTCATTCATTCATGTCCAACTCTTTTCGACCCCATGGACTGCAGCTCACCAGGCTCCTCTGTCCATGGGATTCTCCAGAGGAGAGTACTGGAGTGGGTTGCCATGCCCTCCTCCAGCATATCTTCCCAACCCAGGGATCAAACCCTGGTCACCTGTATTGCAGATGGATTCTTTACCAGTTGAGCTACCAGGGAAGCCCATGATCATGTCTGGTATATAGTAAACATTTAAAAAACTAAATGTTGAATAAATCTAAGATCTTTCTCAATTTTGCCTCAAATTTGTTTTCCTACCCTAAAAACACATTTTAGACTTTCTCCACATCTACCCTCTTCTATAGGTGATCCCTCCTTTCTCAATCTTCTGAATCTTCAACAGCCTCTCCCTTGTGCTGGATTAAGATTACTTACCTCCATTGTAAATCCCTACATTTACAATCCCATAATCTCTAGAGGACTTCCCTGATGGCTCAGATGGTAAAGTGTCTGTCTACAATGCGGGAGACCCGGGTTCGATCCCTGGGTCGGGAAGATCCCCTGGAGAAGGAAATGGCAACCCCCTCCACTATTGCCTGGAAAATCTCATGGATGGAGGAGCCTGGTAGGCTACAGCCCATGGTGTCGCAGAGTCGGACACGACTGAGTGACTCCACTTCCACTTCCAGTCTCTAGAGGATTATGTACTCGCAGGATGTGGAAAACTGTCTTCCCTCTCTACGGTGTAGCAGAGGCTTCCACAACAGCACTCAGTACAAATTTACTAAATAACCAATAGTTAATGAGTGTCACCTTCACTCCATCCCTGTCTTTGCTGATACTGAAGAACCCACCTTGAATATCTGCAGCCTCGCCCATTTCACAGAATCTGCTATGACATGGGCCAAAAGAAAATTTCCCTCTTCGGAAACCCAGCAGTTTTCCGATTTTGACATCCAGACCCTTAACATGTTGGTCCCCCTCCTCACATCGAGGGCTTAACTTTGTCTGCCACCAGGTACATCTTTTGTAGGGCCGTTTTACTAGCCTATGGATATGATGGGAAACGCCAAACACAGTTTGATAGATGTAACTTAAAAACAAAAGTCCCGGTATCTGGATCAGGATGGCGCTTCCACATACTGCACGTATCAAAAAGACACCCTTTTACGATACTTGCAGCAAAGTCACAAAGTCACTTTCCCGCGACACCGTTAGTGAAAACGCAAGCCACCACTACTACTGCCGCCCATCTGCAATGGCTCGGAAACAGAGAGCTGCTGCTAGGGAATGTGAAAGCCTGCCTCAAATTCCCTTCCTACGAGAGAAGGGGATTCGATGATACCCAAACGCTCTTTCAGCATCCATTCCCCAAAAGGCACCGAGGCTTCCCTTCGCATTTCGGGATCCCAGAGAATGGGAGACGACACAAGGAGACAAGAGCAAACCGAGTCTCAGCGTTCTGGCCCGAGGCTCCCCCTTCTCGCGACCCGGCTTCCCTCACCCGGAAGTGCTGGTCCCGGTACTGGCTCAGCTCGACGTAGGAGTCGCTGCGCAGCGCCTTCAGGAGGCCACCCGACATAGTGCAGAGAGGTGGCAAAGGACACCGCCACTCAAGAGTATAACGATGTAGCCCCGGCAGTGGCGGAACCGGAAATGCGCAGAGACGGCTGAGGAAAGTCGAAATCCCGTGCTCCAATCCCAGCGCGGCAGTGTCGTCACCGGGCGGCGCCAGCGCAGACGCGGCCCGTAGTCAGGTGTCGCCGATCAGAAGCGAGAGCGGCGTGCTCCGGGTTCCGGGTCGCTCCGAGGATGGTTCTGCGGCGGCTGCTGGCCGCCCTCCTGCACAACCCGCAGCTGGTGGAGCGTCTCTCAGAGTCTCGGCCCATCAGGCGAGCGGCACAGCTCACCGCCTTTGCGCTGCTTCAGGCCCAGCTACGCGGCCAGGACGCGGCCCGGCGCCTGCGAGCCATCGCGGCTGGGCCCGCTGGCTCCCTGGGCCGCCGAGCGGCCCGTTTCAGAGACACCTTCACTCAGGAGCTACGCCGGGGCCTCCGGCAACGCCCGCGGCCACCACCAGGTAGCCAGAAAGGCCCGGGAGCAAACCCCTAAACCTAGGCTGGGCCGGGTCGAGGTCGCCTGCTTTCCCTCTGGTCTGGGCACCGGCCTCGGCGCTAAGGAGTCATCGCCGACAATACGCACGGCCTGGAATCCTGACTCAAGTTGTTTGCCTACAGAGGTCCAACTCATCAAAGAGCCCGGGCCAAACTTGACACCTCCAGGGAAGCCGTGATCGGGCAGGACACAGCGAAGGAAGAAACTCCCCGAAGCCTGAGAGAAATAGATAGGCTCGGCCCTGATTCACCGCGGGCAGAGAGCCATGGACCTAAGTACAACCGGAGAGAGGTTTAACCTCAGCAAATGGGACTAAAACTAGTGATCGATGATGCTGCCGCTGCACTAATGTAGCAGATGGCTACTTCCAGGGGAGATCCTGGATGGAAAGACAATCCTGCAACTGCCAAAATTCCTCGGATTAAATGTGTGAGCTGAGTAATGGGTATTGTTACAGGACAAAGTTCTTTTGCCCCGTGCGCAGCAAGCCAAATGCGGAGATGCAAAGGTTTCCAGCGAAGAGGATTTACTGGCAAAGCAGCCAGGGGAGGAGAACTAGTCTCAGATCTGGTCTTCCTCAAGGGAAAGGGGTTGGGGTATTTATGGGATAAAGAAGCAGCAAGGCGGCGGGAGGTGTGGGGAAAGATGGAGAAAGGTGTGGTAATTGTAGTTCTGCACAGGTGTAACTATGCCACATGCATCTGCAGCTTGAAAAATGGAGGTTCTTAGCACCATCTGAGGGTGGAGTTTTCTGCTCTGTGATGTCAAAAGGTCAGGAGCATGCCCAGTTGGAGGGTTGGTAGTCCTATCCAGTGTTAACCAACTAACCTTGAACTAGACACAGCTGACCCCAAGAACCTGGAAAACAACTCACCATCAAACATAGCTAGGCTTGGTGCTGCTTCCAGGCTGTGGGAGTCATAAGATGACCTTGACTAGTGAAGGCAGATGAGATGGATCCACCCATGCCTTCAGTATGAACCTTGTGCTTATCTGGGAAGGTGGATTAGGATTCCTGGGACTGTAGGAATTATATTATTATACATTAGAATACTAATTAACACATACTGAATATTTCCTCTGTTCCAGGCACTTCCTTAATGCAGTTATCTCACTCCTTACAACCACTTTCACATGAGGAAGTGAAATGCTATTTCTTTGATTTTCTGTTGCCGCCACCACCATCACCACTGGGTATCAGGACAACTGTCTACCGTGGAACAAGCCACCTGAATTTCTTGTCCCTAATTTAGAGGGTCTGGGATACACTAAAGACTATGCTGCAGCTAACAGACCCACAATTAGGCAATCCATGTATGCATTGATCGTCTCTAATCAGGCTACAGAGTTAATCATGCAATCTAGAAAGCTCAAAGCAGTAGAAACAATTTATATTCTGACTTTGTGGTAGTCACAGAGGGAGCTGGATAGCAGGGGGTGAGGCAGCAAGAGCAGCTTGTCCTCCACTTTCCTGGTGGTCAAAGATCTGACTTGACATTCTACCCTCCAGCCTTCCCGTCAGAGGTGCTTCTAGTTAATCCTCTCTGAGGCCAGTGTCCCACTCTCCTAATGACAAAGTTTTAGTTTGGCACCCTGCCCTCTTGTCCTCCATCTCCCAGACCAGAGGCAACTCACTGCATTCTCCTTGAGCTTGACAATAAGGAGCCCAAGGAGCTTGTTCATTCTGCCTTGATTGCCTCATTGGTTTCAGTCCCACTTGTTTGTATCTGGATATCAGAGCAACACAACGTTAGCAGTCCCCAACCCAACCCCTAACTTTCAACATAAGCAATCTTCAAGGACACTCACAGATTGGTCTTTTTCTAGACTGGCAGAAACAAAAAGGAAAACTGCAGGAAGCAATGAAACTTGTAGACAAGTTGGCCATTTGGTAAGGAAGGAAAGCAAAAAATGAAGGCAGATGTTTTATATTTTGTGGTAGTGTGCGGGAACTAAATTCCCTCCATTTGTAGAAGGAATCTGAGAACAGAGCAAGAAAATGGTCCTTTCTTCTCCAGCTAGAGGTGACTTGGATGCCTCCTGGCTTTGGAAGCCTCCAGTGTAGTCTGGCTTGCCATCCCACCACTTACCCTACTGCTAAAGAAACAGACCAAATTTGTCCCACCACCCCCAGGGGCAACAATCTCCCAACATGCCTTTCAAGCTCTGCTAAACTTTGCCAGAATGTGAAGCCAGGAAGCAATTCACTCCACTATCCTGCAGGGCAATTTCAAATCACCCTTTAGTGCCACACAAATCTAGATACCAACACTTTACAAATTGTTAGCACTCAGGCCACTATGATCTACATGGACTGCTACACCAACAGCTCCTCTAGGGAATTCTGAGGTTGTGAACCTACCTGGCGAAGGAGAGAAACAAGTCCCAAGAATCCCAGAGGAATATGGGACCTTAGAATCTGAGTTATCTCCAGGCAGCACTTGGTTTTTATCTGTTAGGCAAAAAAACCTCTCTGGCTGCAAAGTAAGTAAGTGCTTACAGGTGCCCAAGATGATGCTAAGCACTACAGGTAGGAAAAGAAACCCAAAGTTAGTAACAAACTACAAGAACATAAAACTATCATGAACAGGTCCTATAATTTTAAAGAGGGAACTATTGGGTAGTGTGCTACAGTTAGCTTAGGTCGGCTCAGGAGAGGGATCCTTGGCATCTCCCAAGTTCAGTAACATCATTTTAGTAGTTTGAAATCAGCCATGGTGAGAATGTACAACACACAAGTTGGCAAACACCAGAAATAAGAGCTATTTTGCTCCTAGAGAATGGGTTGCTAAACATTTACCAGCATGCCACTAATTCCTCTCTGTCAGGGCTGGAGTCCTGAGGCAAATGTGGCATGGGGACCCCAGCAGCAGCCTGTGGGAAGTGGAGCTTCAAGATGACCCAGGACTGTAGCTGGCGGAAGGAGCTCCTCCAGCCCACTGCTCGCAGAGGCCTGGGTACCTCTGATTCTCCAGAGACGGCAAGGTTGTGAGGAGGGAGAATGAGGACAGTCTGAGTGCCACAACGCACAATCCCAGTGGACTGAGCAGCCCTGTGATGCAGGGAGCAGCATGCCTGGGTGTGATGGCTTCCACCAGCACAGCAGGTATGGGTTTGGCATAGGGTTTGCTCTTGAGCCTGTGAAGGGGCTTCAGACAGAGGCTTTGAACATGGAGAGTGACCAGACCATATTTAAGGTTTTGTGCTCAAGTGCCACCAGAATCCAGCCTTGTGTCTCCATTCCCATGGGGCTGAACATCTGGGCTCTTTGACCCCTGAAGAGTGAGATGCAGGGACTTCCATCGTGGTGCAGTGCTTAAGAATCTGCTTTGCAGTGTAGGGGACACAGGTTCAATCCTTGGTCAGGGAAGTAAGGTCCCACATGCCTCAAAACAACTAAGCCCACATACCACAACTACCAAGCCCATGCTCTGGAGCCCGTGAGCCACAACTAGAGTCCGTGCGCTGCCACGAAGTTCCCACATGACGCGACGAAGATCCCGCATGCCACAGCTAAGACCCAGCACAGTCAAATAAATAGTAGTGAGATGCAGAAATTTTCCACCTCCTCTCTCAAGGACAGGAGTAAGAGAGTGGGTAGGAGAAAAATTCCAGAACTGCTTGTTTTTGTAATAACCAAGCATTGAGACAGATATCAAAGTACCATTAAATACCCCACACCCACTTCTATGCTTATGGAGCTTTGGGAAGGAACTTGTACTGTAGTCCCAGGAACAACACAGTGTTACCTGGCAGACACCTCAGAGACCATTGTGCAGGCTGGAAAATAGGCTGGGTGAAGGGAAGGGGCTTTCTTAAGAGCAGGTAGCCATTGTGTAGAAGACCAGGGACTCGAACTAGGCCTCCTGAATCTGAGCTACCTTCTTTTGAATATCACTGCACTGCCTCCTTGCAGGTATCTAGGAGGCCAAAGGGTTGTCATGACAGCAAGAGGTAAGGCATCCTGGAAGCTTTAGGGGAAATCATTCAGGAATGTCATTAGGAGATTGCCCTCTCCTTTCACAATCAGGTGCAATTTATTTGTTTAAAACATCACAGTAACTGGAAGGAATAGGGCAGGAATAGACATTTGACGTCAGTGATTACATTAGGTTCTTTGGGGACCTTGGCATCAGGACCATGACTGATCAGATCTTTGGTTTTGGAGGGGAAGTGGATGTCAGTGTACCCAGGAAGTGGAACAGTCAAAGGCTGTCCACAGGAGAGTCAGTGGTGGGAATTTTGGAAGGGAAAGGAAAGGAAGAGAATCAGGGCTCTGTCCCAGTCCAGCCAACACTTAGAGGTGGAATGGGGCCCTCACCTAGGGCTGTCTTGGGCAGTGGCTTCTGTGTCATATTGTCAGGCTTCTCCCCCAGCTCCAGGATATGAAGGCTGAGATGGTCCCTCCAAGCCCTGCTCAGCAGGGAGGACAGGGCCGGTGGGTCCTCCAGGGTCAGGTGGGGAAAGATGAGCATCTCACTCCTGAGTGGGAAGCGGCACTTCCTCACGGCCGGCCTGGTGGTGCCAGGGGTGACCACAAACAGGCGGCAGAGCCACGGCCCCCCAGCCACTTGGCAGGATGGGTGTCTGGTGAAGTTGTTCAGGGCTTGGCACAGGACCCCGTCCTCAGCCCCGCCCATGTCCACCACATCCACTGACAAGCCCAAGCCCGGGAGATGCAGGAGGTGCCGGGGGGGCATGTAGGTGTGGGTGAAGACGAGTGTGAAGTGGGTGGGTACACGCAAGGGCTCAGGGGCATGAACCACCCGCTCCAGGTGCCCCAGGCCAGGCACGAGGCCCCCCTGGTGCAGACAGCCGAAGAAGAGGGCACCCAGGATGTTGAAGAGGGCCAGAGTGCCCCTGTAGGGGGCCGGCTGGGTCTGCAGACTACAGAGCAGGACAAGGGGCACCAGGAGGGGAATCAGGAAGCGAGCCTCCTGGTGGCTAAACGCAGACAGGAGGGCGAGGGGCATGAAGTAGAAGAGTAGGAGGAGAGACCTGGGGCTGGGCCGCGGGCTCCAGGCTCCCAGTGCCCTTGGGAAGCCCATCTGGGCGCAGGCCCGCAGGCCGGCCCGCAGTTGCTGCCACGCGGCCCGCAGGGTGTGGGCGTGCAGCGCCCCAAAGAGCAGGAAGCCGTTGACAGCCAGGTGAGTGAGCCTCACGTGCGTGCCATGCCTTGCCAGGTTCACCGGATCCAGGTTGTAGTGCAAGAAGTTGACAGGCGTAAGGACAAGGGTGCTGGGTCTAGATGGGCTGGAGAAGTACCAGCTGTCTGCAGCCACGAATGCCACTGCAGTGAGGCTTGCCCCCGGGAGTAGCACCCGGGCGTGCTGGGTCAGCGACTTGAAGCTGGGATCTGTGGCTCCGCAAGTGCCCCAGAGGAAGAGGGGGACCAGAGCAAAGGCCAGAAAGGTGGGCCGGTTGAAGAAGCCAGCCACCACGAGGCCCCCAAGAAGCCAGCCATGCCACTGCGGGCCTGGAGCGGGCTTCCTGGGTGTGCAGCTCCTGGCCAGCCCAGGGGACACCAGTACCAGCAGCCAGGCAAAGAGCAGTCCCTCGATGGCGTTGGAGAAGGTCCTTGTGTAGAAGACCAGGGTGACATAGGAACCCGACAGCAGGAGCAGGGCATTCCAGCGCTCTGCCCCCCAGGCTGGAGCCAGGTGGTACACGGCCAGGTCCAGGGCAAAGGAGAGGGTGGTGAGGAGGAGTCGGGGCCCCACCAGCAGCGCGTAGCCACTCACCACACCCGGCCATGGCCCCCACTCTTCCCAGAGCCTGAGGAGCCAGAAGGCAGAGCCAGAGGTCAGCAGTGGGAAGACCACCGTGCGGCAGGGGCTGCTGGGGTGAAACTCCCAGGGCCGGGCGGCCTCGACGCCCAGGACGTCCTCTGCAGAGAGAGCAGAAGAGGTGAGCCAGATCCCAGCTTGAGAGCATGAGAAACCAAACCCCAGCATGGCCCCCAGGACTATCTGTGCCCCACAAAACCCTAGGGCTATGAAGCTGACAGAGCCCACTCCTGAGATTAGGTGATGTCGTGGGGGACAGCTGGCCCCAAGGCAGGGAGAGCACCCAGGTGGGTGTGACAAAAATCACCAGAACCCTTCAGACCACAGTCATCTTCAGCTGGTGCTGAAGAGGACGTCAGAGAGGGGGAGGATCTGCTGGCTTAAAGGTGGAGGGGCTGTTGGCAAGGAAGGCGGGTGGCCTCTGGAAGTGGAGAGCAGCCACTGGCCCACAACAAGGCAAGGAAAATGGGACTTTGGTTCATAGCCTCAACAAATTAAATCTATCCAACAGCAAGGACAAGCTTGGAAGCAAATATCTCCCCAGAGCTTCCAGACAAGAACTAGCCCAGCCCACACCTTGTGATACCCTGAGCAGGGAGCCTTGGTGGGACTTCTGATTTACAGAACTGTGAGCTTCCAGGTCAGCAATGGGAAGACCACTGTGCAGCAGGGGCTGCTGGGGTGAAACTCCAGGGTTAAGCTGCCAGGCCTGCGATGGTCTGCTGTGCAACCTCGCACCTGTGAAGTGAGGTAACACTACGCCCTGGACAGTGTGTGGGGGGAGGAGCAGGGGAGGCTTCATTCCTCCTCTTGGCGCTCTAAGGTTTCCAGAGTCAAAACCGCATCTTTGTGATCATGACTGTCCTCCAGGACAAGCACTGTGAGAGTGCGGAAGGGAGTGAGCAACTGTGCTTATGGTCCAAGATTACTAGTTTTATCTAGGATTCCTAGTTTTTAAAATGAATATACCCATGTAATTAAAATTACTTGATGTGTGGGGCTAGTCTGTGACCCTGTACCCCACTGTCACAGAGCTTTGAGTGGGGATGAGGGGAAAAACTTAATTTCTGCATCTTAGCTCCAGGTCTCACAACATCTCCCACTTGATAACACTGCAGGTTGTTTAAGGCTCTTTGCTTCTCCTATTCATCCAGCCTTTTGGCAGTTTTCTCTACATCAGAAGGTGAAAGGGAAAAAATAAAGTCTTGGGTCAGGTCATCTGGCTGCTTTTTACTGGCTCAGGTTAAATCAGGGTGGAAAAGAAGACCGGACCTGGGCATCCTTGGTGGCTCAGTGGTAAAGAATCTACCTGTCAGTGCAGGAGACATGGGTTCAATCCCCAATCCAGGAAGATCCCACATGCTGCAGAGCAACTAAGCCTGTGGGCCACAACTATTGAACCCACGTGTCACAATTACTGAAGCCCTCACACCATAGTCTGTGTTCTGCAACAAGAGAAGCCACCACAATGAGAAGCCCTCACACCATAACTAAGAATACCCCTGCTCACCACAACTAGAGAAAAATGCCCGTGAAGCGGTGAAGACCCAGCAAGACAAAAATAAATATGGTTTAAAAACGAATAAAACTGGACTTTTCAACTTTAAAAGCAAATCTACCTGTTGAGGTCTATGGCAGAAAGGACTGATACCTCCTTAATATCCATTTCTTCCTTCATCCTTAGTCTCTTTAGCTGGGCATGTGGTCAGATATAAAGACTATATTTTTTTAGCATCCCTTTTGCAGCTAGGTGTGGTCACATGACATATTTTGACCAATAAAATGAAAATGAGCAAAAAGTATGTGACTTTCAAAACATGCCCTTAAAGAAAGTAAGAATGCCTATCTCTTTTCTGGTGGTGGGAAAGACCTGGTGTGTAACCTGATGGCTGGAGCTCAAGCAGACATCTTGAGCCATGAGGAGGAAGGCTTGTGACGACAGCATCTGAAAAGCCTCAAGGTTTCTGGCAACTGTCTTAATGACATGTCCTGTACCACCTAGTAGCGAGGTTCTAACAAGTGAGCAGCCTAGGTCTGAGTTCCCTCAGACATTACATGAACCTACAGAAGGAAAGTTTCATTATTATGTCACAGCCCTGTGTAGGGTTCCCCAACCACTGGGGAAGCCCACCTTCGAAATCCTTCCACTGAGAAGCCCCAAACAGCTTTTGTTCTGAAAACCTGTACTGTTGGTGTAAGCAGGAAAACATCAAAGAGGCTGGCATTTCATTGGTAACATTTAGAAGGTCATTGTCGCCACTCAGGAAGGAGATGTGAAGTTCCTACTCTCAAATTGTTATGCCAGAGAGGCTTGTGGATTTACTGCTCATGTGCACAGACATTTTTCTCCCTCTACACTAAATATCCAGGGGCTTCCCAGGTGGCACAGGTAGTAAAGAATCCACTTGCCAATGCAGGAGACACAGATTTGATCCCTGGGTTGGGAAGATTCCCTCAAGAAGGAAATGGCCACCCACTCCAGTATTCTTGCCTGGGAAATTCTATGGACAGAGGAGACCGGTGGGGATTGTAAAGTCAGATACAATTGAACATTCATGCACACTCTAAATAATCAACCAGTTTCTCGACCAAACTTTGCTGCACAAACTTATCTTAACCACACATGGGGAGCTTTACCTGCCATGACCTCGGGAGACTGGAAGAACTCATCTGGGTGCACGTAGCCTGTCTGTGGAAGGAGACACCACACCAGGCGGAGCAGGCCAAGGCTGCCCCACAGCACCCTGGCTGCCATTTCCATATCAAATTGCTGCAGGGACACAGGGCCAGAGTCTAGAATGACTTCAGATGCTATTCTGGTTCCACAGCTCTACATCTGCCAAGGATAACATTTGTTAGTTCAGTTCAGTTTCAGTTCAGTCGCTAAAGTAAATCATATGTTCAGTTGTCTGAACAAACTCAAAATGGGTCTACAAACAATAAAAATCTTAATAATAATAGCTGCTGTTCACTAGTCAGTCAAGTCGCTCAGTCATGTCCGACTCTTTGTGACCCCATGAATCACAGCACGCCAGGCCTCCCTGTCCATCACCAACTCCCAGAGTTTACTCAAACTCATGTCCATTGAGTTGGTGATGCCATCCAGCCATCTCATCCTCTCCCACCCCCAATCCCTCCCAGCATCAGGGTCTTTTCCAATGAGTCAACTCTTCGCATGAGGTGGCCAAAGTATTGGAGTTTCAGCTTCAGCATCAGTCCTTCCAATGAACACCCAGGACTGGTCTCCTTTAGGATGGACTGGTTGGATCTCCTTGCAGTCCAAGCGACTCTCAAGAGTCTTTTCCAACACCACAGTTCAAAAGCATCAATTCTTCGGTGCTCAGCTTTCTTCACAGTTCACCTCTCACATCCATACATGACCACTGGAAAAACCATAATCTTTACTACACAGACCTTTGTTGGCAAAGTAATGTCTCTGCTTTTTAATATTCTATCTAGGTTGGTCATAACTTTCCTTCCAAGGAGTAAGCGTCTTTTAATTTCATGGCAGCAATCACCCTCTGCAGTGATTTTGGAGCCCAGAAAAATAAAGTCTGACACTGTTTCCACTGTTTCCCCATCTATTTGCCATGAAGTGATGGGACCGGATGCGATGATCTTAGTTTTCTGAATGTTGAGCTTTAAGCCAACTTTTTCACTCTCCTCTTTCACCTTCATCAAGAGGCTTTTTAGTTCCTCTTCACTTTCTGCCATAAGGGTGGTGTCATCTGCATATCTGAGGTTCTTGATATTTCTCCTGGCAATCTTGATTCCAGCTTGTGCTTCTTCCAGCCCAGCGTTTCTCATGATGTACCCTGCATATAAGTTAAATAAGCAGGGTGACAATATACAGCCTTGACATACTTCATTTCCTATTTGGAACCAGTCTGTTGTTCCATGTCCAGTTCTAACTGTTGCTTCCCGACCTACATATAGGTTTCTCAAGAGGCAGGTCAGGTGGTCTGGTATGCCCATCTCTTTCAGAATTTTCCAGTTTATTGTGATTCACACAGTCAAAGGCTTTGGCATACTCAATAAAACAGAAATAGATGTTTTTCTGGAACTCTCTTGTTTTTTCAATGATCCAGTGAATGTTGGCAATTTGATCTCTGGTTCCTCTGCCTTTTCTAAAACCAGCTTGAACATCTGGAAGTTCACGGTTCACGTATTGCTGAAGCCTGGCTTGGAGAATTTTGAGCATTATTTTACTAGTGTGTGAGATGAGTGCAATTGTGCGGTAGTTTGAGCATTCTTTGGCATTGCCTTTCTTAGGGACTGGAATGAAAACTGACCTTTTCCAGTCCTGTGGCCACTGCTGAGTTTTCCAAATTTGCTGACATATTGAGTGCAGCACTTTCACAGCATCATCTGTCAGGATTTGAAATTGAAGTTCAGCTGGAATTCCATCACCTCCACTAGCTTTGTTTGTAGTGATGCTTTCTAAGGCCCACTTGACTTCACATTCCAGGATGTCCGGCTCTAGGTGAGTGATCACACCATCGTGATTATCTGGTCATGATCTTCTTTGCACAGTTCTTCTGTGTATTCTTGCCACCTCTTCTTAGTATCTTCTGCTTCTGTCAGATCCATACCATTTCTGCCCTTTATTGTGCCCATCTTTGCATGAAATGTTCCGTTGGTATCTCTAGTTTTCTTGAAGAGATCTCTAGTCTTTCCTATTCTATTGTCTTCCTCTATTTCTTTGCATTGATTGCTGAGGAAGGCTGTTTTATCTCTCCTTGCTATTCTTTGGAACTCTGCATTTAAATGGGAATATCTTTCCTTTTCTCCTTTGCTTTTCACTTCTCTTCTTTTCACAACTATGTGTAAGGCCTCCTCAGACAGCCATTTTGCTTTTCTGCATTTCTGTTTCTTGGGGATGGTCTTGCTCCCTGTCTCCTGTACAATGTCACGAACCTCCGTCCATAGTTCATCAGGCCCTCTGTCTATCAGATCTAGTCCTTTAAATCTATTTCTCACTTCCACGTTATAGTCATAAGGGATTTGATTTAGGTCATACCTGAATGGTCTAGTGGTTTCCCCACTTTCTTCAATTTAAGTCTGAATTTGCCAATAAGGAGTTCATGATCTGAGTCACAGTCAGCTCCTGGTCTTGTTTTTGCTGACTATATAGCGCTTCTCCATCTTTGGCTGCAAAGGATATAATCAATCTGATTTCAGTGTTGACCATCTGGTGATGTCTATGTGTAGAGTCTTCTCTTGTGTTGTTGGAAGAGGGTGTTCGCTATGACTAGTGTGTTCTCTTGGCAGAACTCTATTAGCCTTTGGCATGCTTCATTCCATACTCCAAGGTCAAATTTACCTGTTACTCCAGGTGTTTCTTGACTTCCTATTTTTGCATTCCAGTCCCCTATAATGAAAAGGACATCTTTTTGGGGTGTTAGTTCTAAAAGGTCTTGTACGCCTTCATAGAACTGTTCAACTTCAGCTTCTTCAGCATTACTGGTTGGGGCATAGGCTTGGATTACTCTGATATGAATGGTTTGCCTTGGAAACGAACAGAGATCATTCTGTCGTTTTTAAGACTGCATCCAAGTACTGCATTTCGGACTCTTTTGTTGACCATGATGGCTACTCCATTTCTTCTAAGGAATTCCTGCCCACAGTAGTAGATATAATGGTCATTTGAGTTAAATTCACTCATTCCAGTCTATGTTAGTTCGCTGATTCCTAAAATGTTGACGTTCACTCTTGCCATCGCCTGTGTGACCACTTCCAATTTGCCTTGATTCATGGACCTAACATTCTAGGTTCCTATGCAATATTGCTCTTTACAGCATCGGACCTTGCTTCTATCACCAGTCACATCCACAACTGAGTATTGTTTTTGATTTGGCTCCATCCCTTCATTCTTACTGGAGCTATTTCTCCACTGATCTCCAGTCCATATTGGGCACCTACCAACCTGGGTAGTTCCTCTTTCAGTATCGTATCATTTTGCCTTTTCATACTGTTCATGGAGCTGTTTACTAAGTGCCTGCTAAATCCAGGAACCTTACATGCATATACCATTTAATCCTTTCCACAGTCTGAGATAGTGAGTCTTATTATCTCCATTTTACAGGTGGGGAAACTGAGGCCTCTGTTGAGTAAGCTGGTTACTTGCTAACCATATTTGTTAAGTGTCTGAATACAATATTTACAAGTAGGATTAAAGCACCTTCCAAATCTTGGTCTCCAGCCCCATTCTACTCACCAGCTCCTATTTACAAGCAAGCATAGCAGCCTGGCTCTTACAGTTCTGAAAACTTAAGAACTTCAATGGATTCCACCCATTTCTCTGCAAAAAATTTACTACATTTGACTTCATTGTCTCCAGTTTACTCCCTCCAAATTTCATACACCTTGGAACCTACCTTTTGGAAGGTGATGGAAACAGTGCTTCCCAAATTTATATGTTGAAATTCTGATGTAATGATGTCAGGAAGTGGAGCATTTGGGAGCTGCTTAGGTCATGAGGGTGAATCCCTCATGAATAAGATTAGTGTTCTTAGAAGAGACATCAGGCATTTATAAAATAGCTCTCTCACTGCTTCCACCACATAGTGAGGACATAGTGAGAAGTTGCTGACTATGAACTGCAAAGAAGGCCCTCATTATGCCAGAAATGTAATCTCAGACTTTCAGCCTCCAGAACTGTGAGAAATAAGGTTATGTTGTTAATAAGCCATAAGTGTAGGTTATGTTGTTTATAAGGCTGTGGTATCTTGTTAAACCAACCCAAATGGACTCTTCCTGATGGGGATTCTCACTCCCTTGACTCAAAGATCAGTGGGAATCTGAGATGACTGCACGATGGACCTTTTCATCAACACCAGTGTATCATCACAGGTGAACAGAAAAACAGGTCTTACAAAGTGTTCAGTCAGTTCAGTTGCTCTCTGAGACCCCCATGGAATGCAGCATGCCAGGCTTCCCTGTCCATCACCAACTCCTAGAGCTTGCTCAAACTCATGTCCAATGAGTCAGTGATGCCATCCAACCATCTCATCCTCTGTTGTCCCCTTCTCCTGCCTTCAATCTTTCCCAGCATCAGGGTCTTTTCCAAGGAGTCCCTCCTTCACATCAGGTGGCCAAAGTATTGGAGTTTCAGCTTCAGCATCAGTCCTTCCAATGAATATTCAGGACTGATTTCCTTTAGGATTGACTGGTTTGATCTTCTTGCAGTCCAAGGGACTCTCAAGAGTCTTCTCCAACACCACAGTTTAAAAAGCATCAATTCTTCATCACTCAGCTTTCTTTATGGTTCAGTTCTCACATCCATACATGACTACTAGAAAAACCATAGCTTTAACTAGATAGACCTCTGTTGGCAAAGTAATGTCTCTGCTTTTTAATATGCTATGTAGGTTGGTCATAGCTTTTCTTCCAAGGAGCAAGCATCTTTTAATTTTATGGCTGCAATCACCATCTGCAGTGAGGTTGGAGCCCAAAAAAAGTCTCTCACTGTTTCCATTGTTTTCCCATCTATTGCCATGAAGTGATGGGACTGGATGCCATGATCTTCCTTTTTGGAATGTTGAGTTTTAAGCCAGTTTTTTCACTCTCCTCTTTCACTTTCATCAAGAGGCTCTTTAGTTCTTCTTCACTTTCTGCCATAAGGATGGTATCATCTGCATATCTGAGGTTATTGATATTTCTCCCATCAATCTTGATTCCAGCTGTTTCATCCAACCCAGCATGATGTACTCTGCATATAAGTTAAATAAGCAGGGTGACAATATACCACCTTGGCACACTCCTTTCCCAATTTGGAACCAGTCTGTTGTTCCATGTCCAGTTCTAACTGTTGCTTCTTGACCTGCATACAGATTTCTCAGGAGGCAGGTAAGGTGATCTGTTTAAGAATTTACCATCTCTTTAAGGATTTTCCACAGTTTGTTGTGATCCACACAGTCAAAGGCTTTGGTGTAGTCAATAAAGCAGAAGTAGACGTTTTTCTGGAATTCTCTAGCTTTTTCAGTGATTCAACAGACATTGGCAATTTGATCTCTGGTTTCTCTGCTTTTTCTAAATCCAGCCTGAATGTCTGGAAGTTCTTGGTTCACGTACTATTGAAGCCTGGCTTGGAGAATTTTGAGCATTACTTAGCTAGCATGTGAGATGAGTGCAATTGTGCAGTAGTTTGAATATTCTTTGGCATTGCCTTTCTTTGGGATTGGAATGAAAACTGACCTTTTCCAGTCGTGGCCATGGCTGAGTTTTCCAAATTTGCTGACATATTGAGTGCAGCACTTTCACAGCATCATCTTTTAGGATTTGAAATAGCTCAACTGGAATTCCATCACCTCCACTAGCTTTGTTTGTAGTGATGCTTCCTAAGGCCCACTTCACTTTGCATTCCAGGATGTCTGACTCTCGTTGAGTGATCACACCATTGTGGTGGTTATCTGGGTCATGAAGATCTCTTTTGTATCATTCTTCTGTGTATTCTTGCCACCTCTTCTTAGTATCTTCTGCTTCTATTAGGTCCATACCATTTCTGCCCTTTATTGTGCCCATCTTTGCATGAAATGTTCCCTTGGTATCTCTAATTTTCTTGAAGAGATCTCTAGTCTTTCCCATTCTATTGTTTTTAACTCTTTCTTTACATTGATCTCTGAGGAAGGCTTTCTTATCTCTCTTTGCTATTCTTTGGAACTCTGCATTCAAATTAGTGTATCTTTCCTTTTCTCCTTTGCCTTTAGCTTCTCTTATTTTCTCAGCTATTTGTAAGACCTTCTCAGACAACCATTTTGCCTTTTTGCATTTCTTTTTCTTGGGGATGGTCTTGATCACTGCCTCCTGTACAATGTCATGAACCCCTGTCCATAGTTCTTCAGGCACTCTGTCTATCAGATCTAATTGCTTGAATCTATTTGTTACTTCCACTGTATAATCGTAAGGGATTTGATTTAGGTCATACCTGAATAGTCTAGTGGTTTTCCCTACTTTCTTCAATTTAAGTCTGAATTTGGCAATAAGAAGTTCATGATCTGAGCCACAGTCAGCTCCTGGTCTTGTTTTTGCTGACTGTATAGAGCTTCTCCATCTTTGGCTGCAAAGAATATAATCAATCTGATTTCAGTGTTGGCCATCTGGTGATGTCCATGTGTAGAGTCTTCTTTTGTGTTGTTGAGAGAGGGTGTTTGTTACAATCAGTGCTTTTTCTTGGCAAAACTCTTGCCCTGCTTCATTTTGTACTCCAAGGCCAAATTTGCCTGTTACTCCAGGTATCTCTTGACTTCCTACTTTTCATTCCAGTCCCTTTTAATGAAAAGGACATCTTTTTTGAGTGTTAGTTCTAAAAGGTCTTGTAGGTCTTCATAGAACCATTCAACTTCAGCTTCTTCAGCATTACTGGTTGGGGCATAGACTTGGATTACTGTGATATTGAATGGTTTGACTTGGAAACAAACAGAATTCATTCTGTCATTTTTGAGATTGCACCCAAGTACATTTTGGACTGTCTTGTTGACTGTGAGGGCTACTCCATTTCATCTAAGGGATTCTTGCCCACAGTAGTAGATATAATGGTCATCTGCATTAAATTCGCCTATTCTAGTCCATTTTAGTTCACTGATTCCTAGAATGTTAGTGTTCATTCTTGCCATCTCCTGTTTGACCACTTCTAATTTACCTTGATTCATGGACCTTATCGGAGAAGGCAATGGCACCCCACTCCAGTACTCTTGCCTGGAAAATCCCATGGACAGAGGAGCCTGGTGGGCTGCAGTCCATGGGGTTGCAAAGAGTCAGACACGACTGAGTGACTTCACTTTCACTTTTCGCTTTTATGCATTGGAGAAGGAAATGGCAACCCACTCCAGTGCTCTTGCCTGGAGAATCCCAGGGATGGGGTCGCACAGAGGTGGACACAACTGAAGTGACTTAGCAGCAGCAGCAGCAGCAGCAGCATGAACCTTATATTCCAGGTTCCTATGCAATATTGTTCTTTACAGCATCGGACTTTACTTCCGTCATCAGTCACATCCATAACTGGGCATTGATTTCTCTTTGGCCCCATCTCTTCATTCTTTCTGGAATTATTTCTCCAGTACCATATTGGGCACCTACCAACCTGGGGAGTTCATCTTTCAGTGTCCTATCTTTTTGCCTTTTCATACTGTTCTCAAGGTAAGAATACTGAAGTGGGTTGCCATTCCCTTCTCCAGTGGACCACATTTTGGCAGAACTCTCCACCATGACCTGTCTGTCTTGGATGGCCCTACAGGGCATAGCTCATACTTTCATTGAGCTAGACAAGGCTGTGGTCCATGTGATCAGTTTGATTAGTTTTCTGTGTTTGTGGTTTTCATTCTGTGTGCCCTCTGAAAGATAAGGATAAGAGGCTTATAGAAGCTTCCTGATAGGTGAGACTGACTGTGGGGGAAACTGGGTTTAGTTCTGATGGGTGGGGCCATGCTCAGTAAACCTTTAATCCAATTTTCTGTTGATAGGCAGGGCTCTGTTCCCTTGCTGTTGTTTGACCTGAAACCAAACATGGCGGGGGAAATGAAGATAATGGTGACCTCCTTCAAAAGGTCCCATGCATGCACTGCAGCACTGAATGCTCCAACCCTGCAGCAGGCCACTGCCCACGCCTCTGCCAGAGGTAGAGTGTACCATCACGGGTGAACAGAAAAACAGGTCTGACAACGTTTGTTACTGCTCCAGAAAAACATATGGTAACTGCTCCCTGGCTTTGATATTTCAAAGCTTGAACTTAAACAGCTATTGTTCTCAGGTGTGATATCAAGTCACAACAGAGACAAGACAAAGTGAAGCAACAGAACAGGAATCTGGCAGATGCCAACCAGGAGCCTCCTGATACTAAAACCTCACAGAACTTAAAAGATGAGTTTTGGGGCCTTGGCTTGAACTTTACAACTGAATCATACAAACTGTTTTTCCAGAGCCAGTGAATATCCTGACTTTTAGAGTTTTCAGATAGAAAAGAAAGGAAAGAAAAGTTTAGTCACTCAGTCGTGTCTGACTCTTTGCAACCCCATGGACTGTAGCCTACCAGGCTCCTCTATCCATGGGATTTTCCAGGCAAGAGTACTGGAGTGGGTTGCCATTTCCTTCTCCAGAGGATCTCCCCAACCCAGGGATCGAACCCAGGTCTCCCACATTGTAGGCAGATGCTTTACCGTCTGAGCCACCAGGGAAGTCAGATATCTTTCAGATAGAAGATGAGGTCAAACT